GGCTCCCAACGCAAAGGCCGAGCCCAAGGACCAGAGCAGCGCGAACTTCCGGAGCAGCAGGAGCGACCCATAAAGCGCGGCGAGGCCGAAACAGAGAGCAGCCAGCAGCAGGCACAGCGCGCTCCCCACCAGTCGCTGCCAACGGGACACGCCCGTCGGCAGCCACGGATCCGGCTCCGGGTCGGCCGCCCACGACCACGCTCCCGTCGCGGGGAAAGGGTTCATGCGACGCAGCCAGACCCCCACGCCCGAGCCAGCTTCTTCTGCCTCGCCCTGCGGAGGGGCCTGAGGCGCTGACAAAACCGTCGAGCCGCCGCCGCCGCCGCCGCCGCCCTTGGACTGAGCTAAATATTCTTGCAGCTGCCGGTTCAGATCTGCCATCTTAGCGAGGAGTCTGTTGGGAACAGGCGGGAGGCGAAGGCAGAAGTAAATGGGCAACAACGCTGCTCTCCGTAACGGCGGGACGTGGTTCCCATTTGCAAAGCGGCGCTGCTAAGCAGAAGGTTGGCCGACTTGGCTTGGCCTCTTTAAAAAGGCAGGCGCCACCTTCTTTGGGAGAAACGTGATTCGCGTTCAGGCAGCTGCGTGCGCGTGTCCAGAGTCCAGATGGGCGGAGAATGAGGTTGCGCAGGCAGCCCCGGCCCCCAGCTTCCTCGCGGGCGTCTGAACGAGAAGAGCCTTTTCTGGACACACCTCGGAACAGTCCATGACCCCGGGCGACTTTCCCTCACCGGGGGTGCGCGACTCCCCACTTCAAAGACAGCAACTGCGCATTCGCAGAAGGCAGAAGAAACGGGGGCGGTGCTTCCGCATTCTACAGTCGCGGAGAATGATGCGTAGCCCCATGTGGCTTCTGATTGGCTATTTCTAGAGAGAGGGCGGGACTTGGGACTAGTACTGAGGTCTGAACAGTTTGTAGTGTTAGTCAATCTTGGCAACTTGAAGATGTGTGGACTTCAACTCCCAGAATTCCCCAGCTAGCACGAACTAGATTGTTGTGCACTGAAGGATGTGTACGGGGTGTCCAGAGAGGGGTGGCACCTCTGGTGGAGGGGCCCATTATGCCCTTTCTAGGGCTGCTTGTTCACCTGTGGTCTGCACCTGGCATTTAGCAGCCACACTCGGTATACTGTCGGGCCAAACCAGGTGAGGGTAGCCAACGGGTCTTTGACTCTTGGTGAGATAGGGGATTTGTCTATCCCTGTCAGCCCTCCCAGGTAAACCAGAAAGGAAATAAGACTAGATGAACTAATTCAACTTTATTGTAAGGCTACATTAACAGAACCTTGCAAGTCTGAAAGCACAAATATTCTGCCCTCCTTATTTACCACCTGAGTAGTTAGGGCAGATCTTTCCTTAGTTTCTTTCTTTGACCATTACCCTATTGCAGATTCCTTTCTCTTTTATCTGATAGTTCCCTAGGCGGCATCTCTTTCTCCCCTCTTCCAGGGTCATCACAATCCCAGTGTGTGAAGTCTGGCTTTGGCAGATTGACCAGAGGAGACTGATCAATGATCCAATGTCCAAGAAAGCAAACCCAGCAGGCATTGTGGAGCACTAAGAGCACAAGACACTTAGATGTCCTGGTCATCCACTGCAGCAGGAGAGGTCTCCAGCTGTAAGTTCTCCATGCCACTGGATTAAGGTCTCTTATGCCGAGAGAGTAGGACTGCCTCCTGTGCAATGGCTGTTCTATTTAAAACTCCATCACACATAGGTTTCTGTTGTGCAATTCATCTTCATCTACAACTCATCTGCAAATCATCTCAGTCCACACCTACCAGACTGGAATTGCAGAGCCACCTCCGTCTCCACAGATGAACTGCACAGCAGCATGTCTTCTTCGAACCCAAAGGACTACCATATATAAGGATGTGAGATTACTCTAGGTAGCCCCTCACTATTATTCCACAGCAGGGACATTATGGCCCCAGGGTCGGGGTCGAGGTTATTTAATTTCATTAAGTTATTTAATTTTCATTTCATTCATTATATCAAAGTAAGGAGACAAAAAGACCTGAAAGACAAAGTTAGGGGGTAGATCATCATAAGAAAAATCTATGTGGTCACTAAGAGTTAACAATGACTTGTTGGCACATCAATAATCAAGGGAACACAAACAGTGATAATTTCCCATTAGCACATTTACTTTGCTACATCAATGTGTGAAATGAAATAAACCATTAGCAATTCAAGCAGGTCTTCCACCTGTAATTTCAAGCATTACCCCTAGAACTGCTAAGTGAATGAAGTGCAACCGCAGGCTTCTTATTAAAAAGGTTGTATTATTATTGCTGTGACCCTTAGGCATAGTAATTGCAGTAATAAGCATACCTGATCTGTTCATGGTCCACTCCTAGGTTCTTTTACAACATGTGCACTCCAGTTCCATATAGTATATTGATTATAGGTACCAATGCATGTACTACAGGATCCAGTCTCTAGGGAATATCCTGCTATGCTACCTCATGTTCCCAAGTCCCCCACAACCACCCCTGAAAAGGAAATCAAAATTTGCAGGATCCCTCAACTTCATATGCTGATATGCTAGACACATGTATCACAAACATTCCAACTTTATGTAATGAAATTAAGTTTGTGGCTTTAATATAATTATTGTGAACAATATTATTGTAATATCTTTAGCTCCTTAAAATGTATTCTGACAAAATAGAATGCATGCAAAAACGGCCTTTTTGTTTTTATCTTGATGGGACCAAGATTCTTTTATAGTGGTTGCTGGGACATAAGAAATTTAAGGGTGAGAACACTCAGTTAACAACCAGAACAGATCTTCTGTCCCTTGCCCACAAAATGCCATTTACAGCAGCATGCACAGTCCCTGAAAAGCATGATATCCATCCAGCCATCAGAAATGTTCAAAACATAATGGACAAAAACTAATTTTATTTGGAGGAAAGGCTGGATCCAAATAACCATTCCTAATCCAGTAGGAAGTCAGTCCCAGGTAAGCAACTGCAGCTTTCACCTTCAAAGGCTGCCATTTCAGTATCAGTACTTAAGCATGACTTGAATGGTGCATGGGGGTACAGTATTAAGAATATTCCTAAAAAGATGGCAACATATAATGGCCACATGCATAAAATGAGGTGTACAGTGGATTTAACAGTACCTATCCAAAAGAGTGGACTCTCTAGTCGTAAAAGCTGTTAAGAATATCTCCAGAGTCCTACCCGGCCCTGCAAACCTATCGACGCGGTTTGCCTTCCACCGCCCCGACTCTACGAGGTCCCACCACACCAGGCCCGCCGCCCTCGCTATTTCATTATTTATTATTTCATTCCCTTTCTAGGAAAAATATGTGCCGAGCCGAGGGGCGGGAGAAAGATCAGGCCGCCC